AGTGAGGAAAGGGTTCTGAGAGCCTTGGAAGTGATATTCGTGATCACCGCGAAATTCTCTATCGAATGGTGTATGAAGTGTCGAAAAATAAATTTCACTGCAAGGCTGCCCTGGGTGCATCTTATCTTCAATCTAAGTTTCAGTGACATAATTAAAAAATGGTGTAATTCCATTAGTGTATTTATACATTTTTTTATCATAAACTACAACTGTTTTCTGTACACTATTAATTTTGACAAAGAAAACCGTTGCTCAATTGATTTTTTTCACTAAATTTTATAAACTTTTTTTGAAACATAAAATTGTAGTATACATTTTTTGTTGTTCCGTTATATCAACACCATGTTTTACAAGGGATCTACAAAGTTGTCGACGAAATAACATTTTGATTTATGTTGTGAATACCCTATGTGGATGTATCATTCGAAGCACTAGACCATAATTAAGTTTATAGAATGTGCGCCAATAATGATGAGATTAAAATATATCTTACGTACTACTAAGGATTCATATCTCATCTATATCTCTAATTTATTTAGAACCAAAAGAAAATTTATATTATTAAGCATAGATTGACCACTTTAAACTAGTATTTTCATTGATTTCTTTAAATAAGAATGTTATTCGAATTAATTGCTCATATTACTCATTTTTGCTAATTGCTTAATTGCTCATATCACACTCGAACATATTATTTGAATAATATAGTAAATATAGTAATAATAGTCTGATTTTGTTACATTGGATAAAATCAGAAAGGACAATAGTTTAGCCATTTGAAATGCTTTAACAGTTGTTAAACTGAGTAATCATGTATGAATGAAATAATATTTTTATTTATTTAAAAGAAAATGTTTTACAAAACGAGAATCAAAAACAAATTATAATTGATGATAGATTTTTCGTCAAACATCTTGAATATTCTCAAACCAGTAACTAATATTGTACAGAATATCCAGTTTCTTTTTTCGTTATCATTCTCTTTTAGAAATACTCAATTATTGTAGTCCTGTTGAGAAGAGAATGGGTGATTGAGCGTCTGATTTATTAGTACGAACAACGTACACATTATGAGGTGAAGTGGGAAAAAGAAATATCTTTAACCAGATGTTTTGAGAATGACATACTCTGCTTTTTTTTTTTCAACTCAGCCTATATGTGGATATAAAGAGATAACTCTATATTTTAAGCATGAATAATATATTTTTTTTCTCTTTCTTATATCTTCTATCCGCTGGATAAAGATGATGTTGATGAGCACCTTAACGGTCACAATATTGAAGAAGGAATAAGGCGTAAAAAATATGCTTTTCTTCTTGTAAAGTTCATACCTCTTTGTGGCATTATTTGCATTATTTATGTAATCTCTCTTAAGATATATTTGGATAGTGATTTGTGAAACATGTCCGAAAAAAGAAGATTGATCGAATTTAAAAGAGTAAATCATGTAAGTAAAAAAGAAAAGTATGTATTTGGTGATTATATCTTTCGATTTTGTGTTCGTATTTCTCTTATATAAAGTGAACAAACGGTTTACTTTTTATCCAAATTCTTGTTTTTAAGCTTGTTTATATTCGGAGACTGTAACGTATGTTGTGATATCACTAAATCTTTAAAATAAAACAGATTTAATCCATAAAGAAAAACTAAGTGCGTTTGTCGCAGTAAACTTCGTCTGAACAATGGACTCAATGATTCTACTTCGAATAACTCTATATAATCCGAAAGGGGACATCTTTGCTGATATGCACGTATTATTTCATTAGTAATTTAATGATAAGAATATTTGACATGATTACATCAAAAAATTGCAGGCAATATTTATTTTGTGTGAAAAAAGAAAACAAAGTGGTGCCATGATAAATATCCGATATAATTATTTTTTTTCTACGCTTCGTTGAAACGGATACACATGTTGATGAACACTTCCTTCCTATGAGTGAAGTGTGTCTAGAAGAAAGTTATTCACCTTGGATTTAGGCAATATCAGCAGTCTTAATTAGTAAACTATTTTTCAACAACAAGATTCTTTGCTATTATGACAGGTGCATTCAAGTCTATCTGGTGTATTGATAAAGAGAGAAGGCAAAAAACAGAAAACAGAATTTATGAATTGTAGAAAATCAACATCGAGAATTGTATAGAAATACTTTATATAGACTAATCATTTTCGTCTGTGAATTATATCGTCAAAAAAAAAAAATCATAAATCTTCCGAAATAGTTAACATAGTTCTGCTGTACGTCATAGAAAACAGTATCTTTAGACTAAATTTAGTAGAACAAATCTTCCTTTCCCTCATATAGATTATCAAACTTCAGTTTTAACAAGTACATGGTCATAAATAGAGATAGCACGTGAGAAAATGTCTACTATGTATGCTTGTAATTTCATGAATGAAAATGACATCTATCACTCAATACTTAGACTAGAGAGGAGGTAACATTTTCTGCACTAAAATAACATTCCTTCATAAGATAGTTTCATTCAAATTTTGAATGAAAATTAACTATTTCGATTGACTCTGATTTATGTTAAAAAAACAAAGAGAAAGCAAATATAATTATATTATCATATTCTATATTTTATCACAAAAACATAAAAAATATGATTTGGCTAATCCTGCCACATCAAGTGTCCATAACTGTCTATAATAAATTATTAGTTTTTGATATTTTTCCGACTTGTCATACTGAATTTTTGTTTTTCTCCTTGTTAAATGATAGTTATTATTTGAATACCTGACCGTATATTACTCTATCAATTATCGATTGTCAGATTACTGACAAATCTGATATTGTCGCTAATATATTTACTTCAAACAAAAAACATATATATATCATATTGATATATGAATATTGTTTTTCTTTTCCTTTAACAAGCATGAAAATTATATTTGCACATTATTTTTCGATTATACGAAAAATCTCCGTGTTTTCTAATGTCGACTCTTTTTTTTTTTGTTTTGTTTTTTAGAGTAGAAAATAAACATCTGTTGTTGTTTTTTCTTCTAAAATCTGTATAGAAAAGAACAAATGATAGGTATAAGGTGTGTATGTAACAGTCTTTTTTTTTTAACTTACTCTTTAGAATTTTTTCATTTCTTTTTTCCTTATCAAATGTTTCGACACAATTTCACTTTTTTTTTTTTTTTTTTAATCAAAAAAAGCATAATAGATAAGAAACGAAAACACATTCTATAATGTCACTATATGACTGTTTTGCTTCTATTACAGAGAAGTTCAGTACTGTTTTATAACTCAGAAAAAAAAAAACCGTAACATATTTATTGTTCTGTACATAACATTATTCTTAGCGTTCTATCATTAATCATATCACTTCTCTATCAACGCACACACGTATTGAAATTACAAAATTATGAAAATAGAAAGCAACATTAATTCGTTTAAAAAGAAAAACAATACTCATAAATCAATCAATAAGTCAACTTTCTCTTTTCTGTCTTGATTTAACACGTTCTATCATTTTTTCTTCTTCTTCTTCTTCTTCTATACACTCAAATACCTTAGATTTATTTTTTTTTTTTCGATTTTTTTTTCTTTTACGAAAATAAAATAAAATATACAGCAGAATACACATAGTCTCTACAAGAAGAAGAAGGGATTAAACAAGAAAATATGTGTCCACATGGCGTTACAGTGGCTCATGGACAAAAATAATAATATGACTATAAGCGGCGTTAGTAAATAGTATAACTGAAATGTAATGCGAATTTTTTTTAAAGAAAAATATTTTTATCTTGATTCTACCTGGTAAGAGGTCATTTTTGATATTATCATTATACGCTTGAGTGACAGAATATGCGATCTTAATCATATTAAGTGATTTGTTCAAAACAAAAGACGTTGATGAGAGATACGTACAGATAAACATATTTCGATTATCCAAACACATGGTTGAAGAACTGAAAACCTACATATATATGTACATTGTTATATTTCTTTATTCTCTTAGCCGATTTTTTACAGGTACACACGGAAAAAAAAAGCTTTTCTACATAAAAGAAAAATCTTTCAATTTCTTTTCTAGTTAGTACTCTCTTGAACATACGATGATAACTTCTCGTATCATTTTTTTTTGCCTCATTTTGTTTCTCTTCTTCTCTTTTTGTACATATAAAGCTTTGATGGAATTAATTTTAGTGTAAAACTGAAAAATACACTCATTTAAAATATCTTCTAAATATTTGATTTTTATAATGAATTTTTTACTTTATCAGAATTTAAGGTTTTCATCAATTATGCTTAGAAACAATGTTCTTCTCTGAATCTGATAAGTAAATTTCACAAGTGATGTAATTCTAGAAAAAATATGTTTGTATGGCTTCATTAGTATTCTAAATAGGCTCAAGTTTTTCAGTTATTATCGTTTTGTGCGCTACGGGAAGTTGATTGTACATTTATATATAAAAATTGCTGTTCTACTACTATAATAATAGGCGACTGTCGTATGATCTCTTATCTACTGTGTGTGCATGTATGATGACCTAAAAACCACATGTCTCATTTATGATCATGTTCTCTAAACTTTGTCCATGAATATGACAGCTCTTTTTTTATTTAATATGTCTATCGGTCGCATCAGAATTAGTTTCATTAAGATATAATTTGTATAATAAATATATCAAAAGCAAGGTTAAGTAATAAAAACAGAATAAATGTCAATTGTGTTGAACAAATTTTCTTTTTCAATCTTCTAATATCCTTGTTTATCAATAACATTTTTTTGTTTTTCAATTTAGCTAAGTCAAGAAACGTCATCTTCTATCACACAATCAATGGATAATAAATTTTTTCGTCAAGTTCCAAATCGATTTATTTCTCAAGATCAAGCTGATGCATGTAAAGTTGAAAAATTAACAAATCTATTCCCTGAAATGAAATCAACAATTGAATTAGGTAAGAATAATCAGTAAAATCTAGGTATATCATAGTGAACGAAGTGTTTTAAACTATGAGATTAGAACATGTTGGTCTCTATTCTGTCTGATTTTGTACTGACGCGTGCGGCATAAAGAATGACCCTCCTACACTCTCAAAAAACAAGTACCCCGCTCACTAAAAAAACGTGCTTTGATGGACGATGCATGGGGCACTTTGAATGCCCTCCACAGGGTACTTTCAAGCATAAAAATGTGTCCCATCCAGAAACGTGCCCTACTATCAGCTATTTTCAGCGTCCCATTCATTGCCCGAGAGGCATTTGTTTCTTCACAGTGTAGTATTTTCTACTTTGGTCGTGTTCCTTTGGAACTCTTAGGTTAGTGTTTTTTTTAAAGATGCGCCGCGAAATACTCTACAAAACCATACTTAAATTTTAATTTCAGAACTTCAATCAAGAAAACTATGCGAATTATACGAAAGATGAAAAAAATGAAAACTTTCTAAATTTGGTATTTCTTTTTACTTAAACTTTTTTCTTCTGCTATTATTTCCGTAAAAAAGTGCAGCAAAAGTGGGAACGCAGTTCTTTTGTACTTTTGAACGTGCTCTTTCTCACAGTCTGGAAAAAAATTTTTTTAGAGTAGATAATGTGCTGGAAAACGAAGTTACAAAAATACGTCAAAAATTGACAGTCCCGCATTTCTAACAATGTGCCCAAGCAAGAAACGGAACTCATGATCGAAGTTTTGATTTTCCAGTTAGGTAGAGAAGAGTAATCGTTCCGTAACAACTGACAAAAAAATTATTATTTTTCACTGAGTTTTGATGTGAAAAAATTTAAAGTGTAGCTAAAAGATAGAGCGAAGTCAGGGCTACATAATGGTTGATTTAGGTTTTCTTACGTTCAAAACGTTAACACAAGAAATCGTTTTTGACTTTAGAAAGTTTTCATTTTTTTCATCTTTCGTATGATCTGCGTAGTTTTCTTGATTGAAGTTCTGAAATTAAAATTTAAGTATGGTTTTGTAGAGTATTTCGCGTCGCATCTTTTAAAAAAAGCGTTAACCTAAGGATTCCAAAGGAACACGAAAAAAATAGAAAAAAACTAAGAGGGTTATTCTTTATGCCGCACCCGCTAATCATGACGCGAAAACATCCTTATCTATCCATACTAGTCTTTATGTTTTCTTATTAGAGAGGCAAACATTCACGTTAGAGTCCTGCAGCTATGACTTTTTCTGCGACTGTTTTCTGTCCTGTTCTGCGAAAACAAAGTTCTTAGCATTTATTTTTAACTTTTCAGAATAGGTACAGCACGCTCAAAGGAAGTAGTAGAAAAAGACAGTATGAATAGTATAAAGTGAGAAGAAGAGACAAGAAAGAAAAAAAGAACTATTTTTTAGATATGGACGAGAGTATCCTCTGAATCCGGAACTGCAATTAAAAATTATATTTGATTAAGACTCTATTTTTTTACAATTGTGAGACATTTTTTCTACACGTTTTAGTAGGTCACGGTTGGCGTAACCTAACCTTTAAAAAATTATCATAATTTGAACTTATGCACTCTCAAAAAATAAGTGCCCCATCAGCTAAAAAAGACATTTTGATGGATGATGAATGGGGCACTTTCAAGCATAAAAGTGTGTCCCATCGAGAAAAGTGCCCTACTGTGGACTATTTTAAACGTCCCATTCATCGCCCTACGAGCACTTGTTTTTTCACAGTGTGCTATCATGGACTCCGTTTACATTTTTTACTCTTTTCTTTTTCTTATAGAAATATTTAAAATAAACAATTTATCGAGTACAATCGAACGTTTATCTCGTATTTATCCTGTATCAACAGCAATCGATATTCGAGACGATACATTACATGTGCTTGTTGGACCCTATAGTATTCGTCTGGGTAAATTCATAGTTATTTAACTGCCAAGAGAATGCTTAGTAACAGTCAGTGCCCTTTTTCTCTAGCACCAGCATTGTTCGCTGCATTTCATCTTAAACAAGTATCTCAGACAATTATGCAAACAACACCGAAAAGAAGAGAACTAACAACAACAGCAGCAGCAACAGAAACAACAACAACAACAGCAGCAGCAACAGAAGCAACAACAACAAATTCAACAGTGTCAGTCGGAGGGAAACTGCGTTCACAACGTCGACAGCGTGAAGTAGCACTTCGACGTTTTCGTCGTGCTGTTCGAAAAATTGGACTTGTAAAACAAATTATTGATCGTTTACAAACACCGAGTATTTTGACACCTATTAATCAATATGAATTACATAATCATGGTATATACGAATTAGTTCTAAGACGACAATCATCATCAACAGATGATTCTCAGAAGCTATTCGAACAGATGAAAGATTACAAAGAACCAGATGAACAAAATCCATTTTTAGCATCTAATTTTATTAAAATTACTTCGCTTTTAAATTTACTTGGTTCATCTACCACACAACAACCACAACCACAACCACAACTACAACAGCCACAACTACAACAGCCACAAGAAGAGAAAGCAGAAAAAATCAATTTTATTAAGTCTAATACGACAGTACCACTAGTGATAGAAAAAGATTTAAACGAAAACGAGAGATCTACACCTTATGAAATTAATTCGAATGAACTAACTGAAAACTTATTAGACTTATCCAGTAACGATTCTACAAATCATTCTTCTGTAATAAATCACTTGTTAGCTCCAGTGTCGTCTTCCTCAACACCACCTTTGTCAACTATCACCACCACCCTGTCAACAAGTCGAGAGAGTTTTGGTGCATCAAAAGCACAAGCTATATTAAGTGAACAGAGCAGAGTAAGGAAATTTCCTACTTACGTTTTTTTAGCGATATTTCTATTTGAAAACATACATATAATTATCAACTCTTCCACCACTCTTTCGAGAGGTATTTTGGATACTCGAAATAGAATTTTCAAAAGATCCTCGCCGAAAGCTTGACTCCTCGAAACCTTATTCCGGGGGCTAATCAATGTTGATGATTCGAATTATCAGATTTCTGACAGGTTGCTGTTTTTCGTTGCATTTTTTGGAATCGGATATTTTCAAACGTATTAGTTAATTTGTGCAGTAAAATTTTCTCTGTTGTCTGTATTAATGAGGGATTCAGCCAAGAAACTTAATAAGTCACATTTTTATTGTGTGTAACCGTTTTACTCTACTCCTATTTCATCCTGTGTTATTTCTTCTTTTACAGAGTAAAAAATCTTCTATCTTTTGAAATTAGGATAATCTGTAAAAATATGTGTGAGAATGAGGTACAAACATGGTCCATTACTTCTGGACCATTCGCTACAGTTGAAAATCATTTAAAACTAGTACAATTGTTTTGTAGTTTTAATTGATTATTTCACTTATCTCTGTAATTTATATAAGAGTAGACAACATAGTTGGTCAACAGACGGTGCTTTGAACACAAAAAAAAAAAAATATGTAAAATTTTATTGTTCTTTCAAAACTTGTGATATGAAATGAATGATGACTCGTTGAACGCAATGAGTATTTTGGAATATGAACGATATGTAACAAAGAGCAGGGTATATTCATGTTAGATATAATGTACTTAATTTAGATAAGAATACTTATGAGTAGTAATACTACATTTACTTTTTGTAAAATATACACTTTTCAATGTCATGTCATATATAAGGATGGATACGTACATATGAATCATTTGATCTAAATCTGTAGTTTGAAAGACTAATAGAGAAAAATTTACAAAAATGTTAGATGAATGATTGATAACGAAGTTTAAGTGCACGTAATGTAGAATATAAATCATCAACTTGAACGTAGCAGATCAAAATGTGTTAATTATGGTTGTATGTATGTATGTTTAGAATGATTGTCCATTGCTCATACATAAAACAGACCCATTTTTGCTCACAATCTTCTGTATGTATATCAGTTACATGTCTTACACAACGTTAGTGTTCAAAAAGAAGTTTACTCTCTTATACAAATGTGATGATATGATTTCCCTCTATAATAGATTCAACATTTTTCTTCCAAATGGATTTTTCCTCAAGCTATAAATGCATCTAAAAATTTTCTTTCTGGTCAAATTTTTTTTTTCTTCTTCTTGTTTGTCTGTGTAAGTTTTATTGATTAGGAAAAAAATTAATTTTTTGATCAGTTCCGATGATTATTATTTTTTTCCTTCGGTACAATGTCTTGGGACTAAAATAAAAATCATACTTTTTTTTTTTTTCCATTATTCTAATGGACTTTTTTTTATTTTCTCATTAGACAAACAGTACGGACAATTCGTATAACGATACACCTTTATCGACAAGTTTTAACAACAATACAACAACACTTCTTACATCAATCGAACCTATTACTCGATTTGAACAACCACTCGATCAACATTCATCATTAATTCCGACTGATGAAGATAGTCTAATTAATAATATATCCAATATACTTACAAATCATTTAATGTTTAAAAAAAATTATGATACAATTAATGATTCATCAATTACAGATTCGGGTATATCTTTAAATACAAATAGTGGTCGAGAAAAAACTACTTATGATTTTGGTCGAATAATACAACGAATTAAAATGACTGTTGAACAAAAATTATTTGAAAATGATGTTGATCAACAATTAAAATCGACAAACGATAATTCACCATCTTCGATACCACTTGTAAATGATAATAGTCATTCAATATCGAAACATAATGGAATAGTAAATAGACGACAACAATTACTTGCATTACATGCCGTTTCATGTCATGAAACACATTCAGATGATTACTATGATATTATAGAGAATAATGTGGATAAAAATAATAATAATACCAATACCGAAAATAAAGAAAAATTATTAATAAAACATCAAAATTGGAGTTTAAAATCCCATTCATTTGATATGACCAATTCAAGTGAGTTTTTTTTTAAATGATACTAACATCCAGGCATATGCCAGCCTCTTTTGAAATCTACTATTTTTGCATGGATTTAGTGTGTAATAATAATAATAATAATAATAATAATGATTTCAGTTAACTGTGTTCAGTATCTTGACAGGTTCTTACTTATCATCACGTAAAAAACGTCTTCTTTTACTACATGCAGACTATGTTTAAGAGGTAATAAATGGTAAGGCTGCTAGAATTAATACGTCAATATTTATTGGCTTCTGAATAATTTGAGATACAGCATAGCATATTAAACTCTTTTCTTTTTAATACAGATCTCACACCATTCTTATTATAGCATGCAAATAATTCTGACGAAATACCTTTCAATAGGATATGATAGTCATTCAACATAACGGTCAACTTTCAACTCTTCAGTCATGTAACTTATCATTTACAAATTTCATTTCATGTAATTGTTTAATGTTGAGATAGAAAATGTCAGCGAAAAGCTGCTTTTTACAAAAATGAATTTTATCTTAAACATTGTATATGTGACATGAGATATCGATTGAACTTTGCTTAAATCTGATTTTAATGAAAACTTTTTTAAGCTACAAAATAAGATGTTCTCCAAACTCTGTAAATTATGTGACTGAAGAGTTGAAAAATTGACCATTGTGGGGGAAGGGGGCTAAATTTCATGAATATTTTGCATTCGAAGTAAGTCTACTAAAAGAAATATCTTGTTCATTCGATTAGAAGATTGTCTAATTGTAAATTAAATAGAATTTTTAAAGTTTTAGATTAAACTTCAAGCCAGTAAAATAATTCTAGCTCAGTCGGTCGAGTGATATTTTAAGTATATTGCTTATCATTCATTATTAAAATGCACAATAGAGACACCTTTTAGGCCTCTATCTCGTAAAATTCATGAAACAAAAGAAGAAAACAGTTTATAGTTACTTGATATAATCAAAATAAAGTGAAAGAAACAGTTTTAAATAGTTCTTTGATAAAACATTCTATGACGTAATTTTTGATATATCAAACAGTAATTCAAGAAAAATGTTAATAAGAAATGAAAAAGTCATTTTTCTGAAATAACTGTCAGTGTAGGATAGAGTAGAAAGATTGATTTGAAATAGCAAATGTATTTTCTTCAAAATTTAAAATACAAAAATATTCGTTGCATTAATCAAATGTACAAACTATTTTGACCACATATAACACTTTGAAAATACACAAAATTCTCTATTTTTCTCGATTTAATAACAATTTATTGGCTTTTCTTTTAATTGTGTAAATATTGTTGGTGATGGTTGAGAGGTGTCTATTGAATATGATGCAATAATAATTAATTTGAGTCGTGTTTTATTTATTCAATTATTATGATACTTGCTCTGCTTCTCTTTCGATGAATACACAATAACTAACAAACATTATTCAGGCTTTGCTTTACATTTGTCTATATTTCTTTCGTATGAGTGTCGTATATAATCTTGATGATCATCAAACAAACAGATGTGTGTGTGTGTGTGTGTATTTCTTCAACATTGGTGGTGTATTGTTTGTTAAAACAAAATATGCTTAAAATTATTCACGAACACACTATTCATTATGTATGATCTTCGTTCATCTTTAGTAATTAACAAAACTCTGGAGGAATGAACAAAATTATTTATTTATTATGTCCTGTTAACGTTTATTTATTTTTTGTTAATTTCGTATAATTCAATATGTTGTTATGATTCCATTAAGATTTTTTCCTTGAAAAAAAAGTCACGAAGATTGTATATGAAAAGAGACATATTCAAAAAATAAAAGTTAAAAAAAAAAGAATAATCATTGTACAATCAACGAAAATCTTTGGTTATTATTTAATCGCAAACATAGCACCTGGTGAGTTAATATTCAATATAATCAAAGACTATTTTTTTGTCTAAAATTTGGTGCTCATATTTCTTAGTCAATTTAATGTGGATTTATCTGACGATTAGAAACATCTTACTGTATTCAATTTCGAAAGATATTGTTAGAGAGCGTATGTATTATTTAGAAATGAAATACATCATTACACATGTTCTTAAAACGATGGTTAAAAGTTTGTTTTATATTATGTTACGTGCAAACATTGAAAATAATATTATACTATTTTTTAATGAAATTGCTGCTTAATTAAGACTAAAAATGTCTAATTCTTATAATAATATTACTTGAATCTTGGTTTTGAAAAAAAAACAAACGATTCTGATACTCTAGTCATTTGTTGAAAGTAATTTTGATTTTGAAAAATATTAGCCTTGACCTTGAATAAAAAGAAAAGAGAAATCTTTTTGGTAATTATACAATACGGTGGCAACAGAATGTTTATAGAAGAAGACACAAAAACGAAAAAAAAAAAAACTTGTGATATATCAATAAAAGTGCGAATAATCGTTTCTTCTCACATAATATAACGATATGTATGCACAAAAGAATAGCTAATTGGTATTTCGTGAAATATCAGAATGAATTAGCTGTTGCGTACATCACCTTTTCTTTTTTCACGATGACGTTTACTAACTAAAATAAGGTGCGATATCTTATATTTACATACACAATTTTTTATTTTTTAAATAGAAAAAACAACATTTGCACAAATCAGTCTCTTTTACTGTTGCAGTTCAAGGTAAGATGACAAAAATTTTGAATCATTAACATTTGTACTATGAATACCTTCAAATATCATACCGTGATTTGAAATAGCCCTTTTCTCCGATATAGAAGTTTTAACAGTATAAGGAGTACAAAACTAGAAAATATTTACAAGAAACAATGGATAAAGGAAGTGAATCAATGCCAGAGTACCATTTTCTCAAATTTGAGTTTAACGGAATGCTAAAGAAAGAAAAAATGATATTTCATCAACTTAAACTATATCTACTTTTTAAATAACAATTCGATAACACTATTCTTTATCCAATTTTAACTATAAAAGATCATATATACTGTTTCAATAAATGTTAAATATATTTTTTCTTAAATTTTGTTTTTTTTATATACCTCAACAATGTAATAACACAATAAATGAGATGAAAAAAAAAAAATGTTTTAGTTTTACCATTTTAAATTTAAATTGTTAACCTTGTCTGAGTAGAATAAAGGAGAAGAAAAAAAAACGAAAAAAAGATAAACTCAACTATAAGTTGAATTTTTAACTAAACATCCTTATTAATATCTTATGTATCTTATATAGATATACTCATCTACACATATACACACTCAAAACATATAATTAACATTTTATTTTGTAAAAACATGCATTTTGTGTACATACGATATACACAATTTAACAGTTGAAACCGCAGAACTGTTGTCTACTTTTATTTGATAAAAAGAAATAAAAGAACAACAAATAAAATGACGAAAAAAAACAGGAATGAATATAAATATGTTCATTAGTATGATTTATCAGAGCTTCATTTCAACTAAGATACTATTTTACGGATCATTAAGAAGAAGCTATAAAAAAAAGTATATTTGAGTTGTTTGTCAGGACTAAGAATTTTGCAAGTTTAATACAATCAATCATCGTTGTATAGATAAAAGTAGATGTGATATTTTGTTTCTTTCTTCTTTTTCTAGGTGATTCTGAATTAAATGATGCAACATCATGCGATGCTGAAAAAATCCACATGGTAAGTATATATTATTGAAAAATACAGATTTTGAAATCTTTTTCATATAGTCGATCTCTATCACTGATCTATTTATCTCTCTAGACTTCTCAATTTATAAGTAAAGGTGTACAAACCGATCCTCGTATTAAAAATTCATCTCGATCAGTATGTACATTGTTCTTAATCTTTCTAACAACTTGTTTGTTTTATCTCTTTTTTTTTTTTTCTCATCAGCGATTTCTTGACAAAATTCGTTTATATATTGATTCATGTATTCGTCATCGAGAAGAGCTATTTAATCAGTATAATATTTCAAATTCATATTATGAACAACATTATACAAACATGCACGAAATTCAACGGTATATATATTATAAATTTTGTTTTTATAGATTTCATGTCTATTTGTTTCGTTTTCTTTATTTTATAGAGTTGAATATCGTGATTTATTAAATGTTCGAAATGAAATATTAAATCGCTTTGATTGGGTTATTATTGAAATGGAAAATATTAGCGATAATTTACGACTACATCAGATAACAATTTCGGATGCCGAACTATTCATTCATCGTCCATTAGTACAAGAAGTATGTCTCAATTTGTCGATTTATAATTGATAAAAATTATGATGTATTATTGATTATTTAGGTTATTGAATCATCGTTAATTGCAAATGAAAATAAATCTAGTCAAAATCTAGCAGTTATAACTGCTCCAAATGAACAAGAATGGCAAATGTATAATCGAGATCTTCGAGAGACAAAAGATGATCTGGAATATATTGGCACACTTGTTCAGCGAGGAATATCGAAGGTGTGAGAGAGCGAGAGAAAATGGCTATAGCTTTCCCCTTGAAAACTAATAGAGCTTTATTGAAAAAAAAAGATCAACACACAAATGATTGATGGGCTTAAACTTCGTTTTTGCTTTGCTTGAATATTTTACTAACAATTTAATAGTAAAAGTTTGAATTTTCAGCAACTATCATTGTTTCATCGATTTTTAACTAACGCTTTGTTCATCTAAAACCCATTCTATTTTTTATTTTAAGTTAATTATCTTCTTGTTTAGATCGATCGATTAGTGAATTTTACCAATTTATACGCCTGATTCAATGTATATCTTTGTCATTTTTCCTCTCGTATTGTACAAATATTCAATATGTTTTAGCTGTTCCTATTATTATTTTGTTGTTTGTTCGCTCGAATTAAATTTTACGGTGATATTCTTATGCCTTGAAAAAGACTTTTCTGTTATTTTAGTCTTTTTCCTCTTTAAAACTTGTTCTTTTCTATTTCTGTCTCCTATGGAAGTGGAAAATATGTTACTGTTTAATCAAATATGTAAAAGGAGATTCCTTGAAAAAATTTGTGGAAAAGAGTAAAAATAAATCAAGTAATTCTTCAGCAATGTGCACAACTAAAATTTTGATTCAGTTAATTCCATAAACTCTATCCAGGAATGAGAGCTGCGTACATCCGCATGAGATTCTCCACGGTTGCTTCAAAAGTTGACCAGCCTCCAGCTTGTCCTTTACTCTTCCTACCGAACACTAGGATTCCATATTGAAGAGTACGAACTCATACAACTCAAAACAGATAGATAAAAAAGAGGTCACTTCTTCTGTAAGAATAAAATCAGGAAGCAAATCGTGTTACGCGCGCAAGTTTTTAAATATGGACGGAACTAAAACAGAGCTACAATTTGTGTGAGATCCCATTGGTAGGTCAGATACTTTTGTAAAAAACGTGGTTGCTATCATATGAATATATTCAACCTGATCAACAATTCCGAATGAAATCCACAAGGATTCTCAACTTGAACAACGCTTTTCTGCATATTTCCCATTTTGAAGTTAGCATTTTGGTATTCCGTCTATTTTTGTTTAAATGAAAGTTGAGGCTAAGTAATCACCAGTGCCAATCGATTACCATCAAGAACTTATCAAAACATATGTTTCAAAAAATACTATGTAGTAATAAAACCAAATAGTGCCACCTTGGAGGAGTACTTATAAAAGTTCATGGCAAGTAGTTTCGAAAATGCCATTTTTTAAAGTACTTATTAAGTGCTTACAAGGTAATCAAATACATCCACTAAGGTTAGAAATTGTATATTAAAAAAATACAAATCAAAGAAAAGCTTGATTGATACTGCTACAAACAATCCATCAGTCTGCACTATCTTGTCCAACATCAAACTCATCTGTGTTAATAGTCTATGGAATAATAGAACAGCACGTATCACTGTAAGTTGCTGGTGGAAACCTGAATGTTTATATCGATTTTCGCACTTTCATCTGTCTATGCTAGAAATTGTTTTTTAAAACGAAAATAAGAGAAACATTCATCTATAAACGAAGAATTCGGCATCACCTTGTCTATCAAAGGGCGCACGATGGTGGAAGAACATGTAATATACTGATTACATTGAGTTCTATGAAGACAGTGTAGTTTGACGGTTATGTTGTTTGTCACATATATTAGGAAGAACGTAAAATATAGTTTCTCTGGTCGGCTTGAGAGTTGGAATGTGATTAGAATTTGCGCTCAATCATTTGAGAGAAAGACTTTTGTGTTATAAAGTATAAAGAAGATATCAACGAAAAAATTTTGAAGAATCAAGAAATCGATTTGCCGGACCTTCATATCACAATTCGAAATCAAAAGATTGAGACAACGGATTCATTCTCTTATTTAGGTTGCTTGATGTCTAAAAATCAACGTCCTGACAAAGAAATAGAATCCCGACTAACAAAAGCGGCTACAGCATTTAATATGTTAAGAAACGTTATCTGGTATCGAAAAACAATATTTATAGATGCTAAACTACGAATTTTTAGAGCCTGTGTGATGAGTGTTCTTTTATATGGTAGCGAAGTCTGGTCATTGACGGTGGATCAAGAAAATCATTTATATGAAATGTCTAAGAACTATATTTGGCTTGAATTTAGGAGATCGAGTTCCAAATCAGAAAATTCTACGGCTATCTGGTCAACCTTTAATAGAAGACATCATGCGAAGGGCATTTATTATATTCTGCATTTTACTAATAAGACATCGGGAAAAAAAGAAAATAGGAAAAATGAGAAGTTCACTAATGAAACACTCCGCTACATTTAACTACAGCCGTATTGTTGTGTAATCTAGCATAATTTTGTAGAAAATTGAGTTAACAAGTGACGTAGACAAAAATCACAAATCTTGATGAGTTTCAGTCAGCAATCGGGGAGTGAAAAATAGTTATATTTAAGTGATTGTCTCTTGAATGTTATTAAATCAGATTGTTTATTGTAAGCTCCTAACACGTATTCAGATTTTCTTAACACCTCTAGAAACCGGTTTCTGAAAAATCAACTCTCCAAATGCCACACCTTTTACTCAATAGAAAATTTTAAGATTACTGGTTTGTGAAGCAAAGTCAAGGTAATTATGTTGATAAATTCTTTTGACTATAGAATTTGTTTTGATGGAGTTGTAAACATTCAGTTTCAGAATCTGATGAATCATTTAGAGATAAATAAAGATGAATCAAAGTAAACAATAGAAATAAATGTAATGCAATACTAATGAAATGCTAGCAACTCAAATTCAAGTCCTATACGCTTCTCTAGCATCTCTAAATTCGTTTCACGTCTGAATTAAACTTTTTCTACTGTTTTTTAATTTTTTCAGTCACACTGTTTCTGGCATGATTATTTACGAGGATCTGAAACCGAATGTTTACAATTCCGTCAAAATACATCCTATAGTCAAACGAATTTATTAACATAGTTACCTTGAGTTTGCTCCACAAACCAGTAATCTTAAAATTTTCTATTGAGTAAAAGGTGTGGCATTTGGAGTGCTGATTTTTTAGAAACCGGTCTCTAGACGTCTTAGACTTATTAGAGCTTATATATGTAGCGTTGTGTAAAATTTATGTATTGAAAAACGTTTAAACGTGCGTTGACGGACACATTTAAAACGAGTACTTCTCTAGCATATTTGAGTAATGATTAATAATATGAAATTTTCTAGAAAAAATATTTGTATCACACAACATGGAGTCACGTAGTGTGCAGAAGAAAGAAAATGACTGAAATATTTTTCACAAATAATCTGGTCAGGTTACCAGATATGTACTATTTTTCAAGTATTTAATTCTAAACGCGTTTTACTAGATCTGTTCCAAAAATGGGAAAATTCTTGTCAACAAAAAACAAAGTCTAATTTAACAACAACAGTTATTAAGGATGAAAAGGAAAAAAAACCTAAAAAAAAGAAATCAGAAGCAGGAATCAATGAAACAACTGACGCTAGCGAAAAATAGTAGTTTAAATTTGAAGAAATCGAACGCTTGTGAACCAAGGACAAAACATGATGAATTATGTAAATTTACTTTTACTTTACAAGCAAATAATTTGAAGAAATCTAGGTTGTGTTTGTCTTTAGTTTCAATATCAAATATTAGTTCTAGTGAAGAGAAATCAGTCATTATTTCTAATGATAGATTTATCACAGAAATACGAATTGATTATAATTCACAAAACCATCGTTCTACCATTACCACCAATAATAGCTACCAATGAGCCATCTCAGCTTGAATCGCAGTAAACAGTTCGACAACCAATGCTCACAATGATCTAACTGAAGTTTATGAAAAATTAAGCGATGTTATATCATTCAGAGAAGTAAATTTAGTACCATTAGAGTCCTGAGGTTAGCATGACTTTTTTGTTAACATTTACCATTCTGTTATCATGGATATAAATTATTTTTTGAAATTACTGTTATCATAATAGTGATAATGGAATTTCCATAGTAATTCAGCATATTCCCATAGAAAGGAAGCAAAAACGTATAAAAACATGTGCGCAGAAGACAAAGAATATGTATGATCATACACTAGTTTATTTTATAAAGCATATAACTTTTTCAATAAAGAGATTGTATGATTATGAACTAGAATTTGATAGGTATTGGTTACCTTTACCATTACAATGAAGTTAATTTTTTTTTATTATTTACCATATATTATCATGAATTAAAATTTTTGTCTTTACTACTATGTCTTTACTATTTTATAGTGAGGTAACCGATTTTGTTTGTTACCACAGTACTCTAGTATACATATATCCAAATCTTAAATTTAAGAATGAATTTAATTAACAAAAGAGAAAGATAATTATTTGTCTATTATGACTCAACTATATGAAAAATAATCTTTGTCAAATACCTGAACCGCTTTTCTTTACAGGTATAACATTTATCAGTGTTGTTATCGTATTCAAATGCACATAAATACGACTCATAATCCAATATATTTGAATAGTGACAATGACAATGATACTGTTCAAACAAAAGCGCCCATAGTGAATAATCCCAATAATAGCTTAACGTTAATAACACCAGTTGAATATACTGATGTTTATAGTGTTCGATCTTATTCAAAAAGTATTCGATCATATATGGTTGACATACAACAAGTAGATGAAGAACATAAACAAGTATTAGAAAATTTATGTCCAGATATGTGATAGAATAAAATAGAAGATTATATGTTCCAACAGATTGATTTCGGATACAAATAGTAATAAATGATGTGACGACTTTACAACCCGATTGACGATGAATTAATACGATTTTAATCTTTTTATTTGTAAAACAAAAAAACTAGCAATTTTTAGCGCTAGTTATTCTAAATAGAATTTCATTTTTTCACGTGTCATACGAAAAACATGCCATTGTTCTTTTTTTGTCATATCCACAACTCCTCGTGCTTCGTAGAAGTTAATTGCATCAATATTCCAATTTAGTACAGAGAACTGAAGACGTGCACATTCAGTATCAATGGCAATCTAAATATTAACACATATGAAAATACAGAACACAATAAATTGTGAAACTGACTTGAACAGTGACTTTGAAAAACATTTGACCAATGCCTTTTTTACGATATTCTGGTTTGACATATAAATCTTCTAACCATAACGCTTTTCCTTCCCATGTTGAATAGGTATTGAACATTAAACAATAACCAATCAGGAGATTTTCTGTAGAACTCGTATCTAAATAAAACAATATAAAATCAACATAAGATTAAAAATATATAAGAATTATTTGCCTTGAGCAACCAAACATGTAAATAATTTTCTATCACCAAATCCATCGTTTTTTAATGCTAAAAAAAGAAAATTCATTCTATCATTGTTTTAAGAATTAATCAAGAGAAACTTGCTCTGAGAATTAATTTTAACCTGTTCAGGTAGTTTTTCGTAGACTGCCAACTCCTAAAATGAATGTTTATAATTATCATTTCATTTTCATTAGATTTGGATTTTAATCTACATAAATTAATTTTACAATTTGTTCACAATCACTTTCTATAGCATTACGAAGAACGATGTTCTGGTCGATTTGAATAGATTTGTTCATTTTTTTAACGTAATATATTGATAATCTATAATGCAGTTAAAGCAACAAGATAAATGCAACAAATTATATAATATATACGTATTATTTTGAAATTCAGCTGACTGAGCTATAACACAAATTGTAGAAAAAGAAAAGTCATCACGTGCACCAAAATCTTCACTAATTATTCTTTAACCTAATGTGTAGATAAATAGAACTAGCCAGTAGCAAACATCTAGAATGTTTTTTGTTCTAATTTTTATTTACGAACGAAGTGAACAAACTTTTAGTTTTTCTATGGGTTTTTTTCGATTAAAATAGAACAAGAATACTTATTCTGATATTTTTCTTTTAATTGTGTAAACTAGATAGACAAAACAAAAAAAATTCCTTCACACTTACGAAAGACAGATGAAAGTATTTCGAAAATGATAAGTACCTTTAAAGAATAAAATAATTATTTACATAATTCAGCAATATAAGTTTTTCATCTCGAACGTTTGTACGATACGAGAACACAAATCACTTTAAATATTAAACCAAATGATATTTAAAGTAAACAAAAAAAGAATTTTTTTTTTGTCAAGTATATGTCTTATCTATTTCATTCTCAATGACAAGATTATAGCACAATACTTTTGGACTATCGATATCAGCAATTGGCTATTCTCAACCAACTTCTTTGTAACAAAAATTTTATCGAATAAGATGAGTCACCAAACACTATACCAGGGTTTTCCCTTTTGGCGTCTATTTTAGAGTAAAAAATAAAAGCCAAAATTAGCCGTTTTTTGCTTGAAGTGTTCGTACAATATTTTTATTAATGTTTTTGAAATGATAACATAAATGATGTTGGTTTCTCCCATTTTTTTTTTCTTCTTCTGGCTACTTTTGATGAGTAATAGAACAAATGTCTGTACAGAAGTTTGTACACATATAAAAGAACGAAAAATAAAATTAAACAACAATAAATAATTTCTGATTCTTTTCATCCCGATAAAGAACGTGATGCATTTTGAAATAGATATACTAGACTATAGTAAAACGATGATATTTTTATGTATTCTTTTCTTTGTTCTTCTTTTAAGAAATAAATAAAAAAAAGACATACTTCTTCTCTCTATACATTGTAAGAATTCTTATAATAGAAAACTATGTACTTTAATAAGAAAATATCAACGATATACGATATATTAACTATTTTCTCGTCTCTCAAACTTTTAGTTTAAAATTGACATATATTTTTTTTTATTTTCGTTATAATCATTTCAAACATATTTTTATTGTACAATGTGATTCAATATTTGAATTTAATGTAAGATAATAGTCATTTTTTCACATTTTGTAAACTTGTCTGTCAGATACTCAAAACTTACCGAAATTTATTAGTTATAACAAACGACTTCTATAAGAACATGAAAAAAACTTGATAATTTCGTCACGTGCACGTTAATAATGTTTTTGAGTGAACTCACTGCAAAAAATCAGATCGGATAATGCACAGTGAGTTTTTCAACACTTATAATTTTTTACTTTTCTCCAAATCTTATTCAGCATTTCTGATTGATTTTAATCAGGATAGGGAGATTTTTTATGGTAGACAGTCTTTTTAAAAAGTTCACGGATACATTTTTCTAAACAAGTGAAACATTTGTAAAATAAAAAGAATTTTTATTACTCTCTAATGCGAAGTAATAAAGGGTAATAAAAGATTAGACAAATTTTAGGCAGAACAAAATTCCAAAAATCTGGCGAACAGTGTTGAAATTTAGGATAGGGATGTCCTCTACTCTAATAGGAAATCCTGATCTTATGAACAGTCTCAATCATTCTTCTGTTCGACTACATACAAATTCTTTAAATTAACAAAAGAATACTTCTGTTAATTACCTTACCAACTTTTTCTACACTTTTCAGCTTGTGTTTCTGTTTCAGATTAGATTCTCGTAACTTAACTTTTATTCGTGATTAAAATAACAATGAATAAAAAACAAATTTTTGTAATTCGAGTATTATTAACCGTCTTCTATGGTTTTCTATTATCAAATACATTATTTTCATATATTATTCACGGTTCTGTGGGAACAATGCGTCGTCCAGATCCTTATTTAATAGCAATGATCGTTATCGGTGCTTTAATTTTAATAGCAATTGGTCTGGCTACATATGCAACATGGTACAAAAGTCAAATCATTCTATTAATATCGGGTTTTGTTCTTATCGCTATTTTTATACTGACACTTGTATTTGGTATCGTTCGTATTGTTAGATCAGCCGATTCTCGTAGTAAACCACCATCAACAACCATAAAAGAAGGAGAAAAAAGGGATCACTATGTTCTTGCTGAAGATGTAGCCAAATTAGTTATTGAATTACTCTCAATATTATTCGGAATTTTAGCATCATTTTTACTTTATCGTTGTATCAGAGCCGACGAGTATGCTGAAGTTTCAACAATAAGTCCATCGGCTTAGAGAAAAACAAATAAATGATTACATCATATGATGCCATTGTTTTTTTTTGTATATTTTTTTCTAAAGTTACTTTTATATACATCGAATACAAATTTTCTAGTAATTAGAGAAGCTGCACTATTTTTATTTGCACACAATTGTTTGTGCTTTTTATTTTGCTACTTTTTCTTTGTTCTTTTTTTCCGGAAACAACTATTCTAATGTTGTATATAGTTTTGGTAAGTGAAAAAGCTTATTTTCTAGAAAATAGTCAGTATTATCGTCATTAACTGGTTAAAGTTTTTATAGGAATGTTTATATATTGTTTTTCCTTATTAGCCGCTGAAGCGACTTCTTTGGATAGCTTTACCGTGAGATGATCAATAAAAAAAGGGACTTCATAATATGAAAACGATCTTTTGTTTCTATCGAAGCAGAAGAGAGAGAAATCAAGTACAGTACAGCAAAAACAACAGAAGGTCTAAACTTATAAGCCGATAAGTAACAAAAAAAACAGAAGAAAAAAAATTACTGTACAATATGAAAAGAAAACAAGAAATGAATACCTGACTACATGAACTTGTAAAAAAAAAAAAAGAAAAAATTTCACTTTCAAATATTTTTTGTATCAGCCGCTGATACAACATTCACCATGTCTTTTGCTAGTCGTTCAATAACTAAATCGGTTCTTCCATGTACTTTTTCAGCTACAAAGCGAAGAAAGAGAGAGAGAGAGAGAGTTACTTTTAGTATTTTATTGTGTAGATACTAACTCACCTAATTGTATACGTTTAATATTATTCAATCGTCGATCTTTTGATGCCATGATACGTTGTACACGTTTATTTAATCGTATAGTTTTATGATTATTTGATATTGAATGAATGAGATTACTCCACAATGGTAATGTTGGTATATATTCTTTGAGTAAAGAATGTAACCATTTATAATTACCTTTAATTTTTTTTAATATAATTTTATCCGTATTTGATAATGAATCGAATGATGCTAATAAAGCATTTTTTGATTTATTTTTTTCATTAAAAATTTTCTTCAGATCAGTTTCATATGGTGATACAAATATATTTGATTCACTACTGAGCATCTAAATAAAGAAAAATATAATTTATAAATCAATCTACTTGATATTAATCAATCCTTCTTTCATACTTTATTTGTATAAAAATGATCATTTTGAAAATCTGATAAATCGATTTCATTCGTTGTACTTTTATCATCGTCTTCTTCACCATCATTTTCATTGTCTATTTCATCAAATTGTTCACCTTTAATTCCATTATTATTTTCCATACCATCATAGACATTATTATAGACAGACATTATATCCGGATCATTTTCTATTTTAGCCACTTTATCACATAATTGTTCATAGGACTTTAACGACACATAATTCGTTCCCCAATTTAAAAATATTTCACATATTAATGACCAACTTAATTTAATATCATTCCAATTATTTGTATACAATAAAAGAAGACTTGACCATAATGCCAATTGTCTTAATTCTGTTGAAACATGTTTCATAGCCAATAAACGAAATTCATATAAAATTGTTGTTGAACAAACAAATAAAATTGTTTTTGGTTGTGGTGGTAGTTGATCTTGTATCGGTATTTTTCCATCATTTTTATTATTAATTTTTTTTGCATAAACACGCGGTAAACTATCTTGTGGCAAACGATTAGTTAGACAAATATAAGTACGTTGTAAATATTGTTTAAAATTTTCTTGATTAAAAAATTCTAAACAAACATTATTTAATATATTATCACGATGAGAATTTACTAATAAAACTGATGGTTGAGGAAAATAATAATTTTGTGGTGACGATGATTTGTATAATTGTTCATGATCCCATAAAAAACGCTTTAACCAAAAAGCTAATTCAACTTCATTATTTGAAACAGATAAATCAGCACCATCAGTATATGTCAAAGTAATGGGTATTAACGATGTATCATCATTATTTGTTAACATTAATTCATAATAATGTAATTTTCTTCCATCATGTTCAACTGATTCACATATCATACAAGCAATTGATTGTTCACACTGTTGTAATGCTTGTGTTGTTGTCTGGAATGCTCCATTATCAATTATTATGACTATAATAAACAGACAGTCAGACAGTATTCCAAAAATTTAACAATAAAACTTCATTTACTTTGACTTGAACTTGATGGTGGAATGGTAAATTGTGTCAATGGTGGTCCAGCTGTTTTTACTTGATGTTTTCTTGTTAATTGTGAATTATAATAACGTATCGATGATTCTGTATGCAAAGTAACATAAAATGGAGATATAGAAATTGTTTGTATTGCACCCAATAACAGTCCATTTGAATTAATTTCTGTTCTTAGTGTGGCTGCTAATTGTGTTAAATTGAAACACATATTGACAAATCTTTTTGTAGATGATGCACGAATTGTTTCTTCAAAATCACCACTACTAGTACTCATTATACTTGTATTTGTAGTACTTGTATTATTAAGATGATAATTATTGTTAAAATCATTTGTATCATTAAAAACTGATTGATTCCATTCGTCAATAGTATTATTATGTTCAGTTGATTCTTTCTGTTGTTCTCGTTTACGTTGTTGTACAGCTCGACCAACAGCTCGATTTGGTCGCATGACACGTTTTGCTTTTGTATGATCAACAATATGTCCATTTGACGAACGTGTGCAAAGTAGCGCTTTACCATTGTCTTTTACAGTGACGATACATTGAAATGGGCAACCACAACCATTTGCTTGACAATAGAAATAAACACGTAATAAATAACTTTGAGCGGTATCTAATCGACGGCCATAGTTCTTTGTTGAAGCACATAAACCTTTAAAAAAAGAGAAAATAGTTTACTTATTTCGTTCTCTATTCAAATTCTTTTTCACAAACCGCAATGTGGATTGTATAGTTTAACATAGGGTAATATGACATATAACCATTCGATATCACGATGCTTTATTTGTTTATTTGTTGTTGAACTTCCAGATGGTTCATCTGTTGATAAATTATTATCATCTGTTTCACTAATTAACGGAATTCCTAATTTGAGCAATTTTCGATCACTTTCTTTTTTATAAAATTTTTGTCTCATTTCAAGTAAACGATTTACATCTTGCATATCAACCACAAATTGGTATGTTTTAGGTAATTCAGTTTTAATTCCAGTTGTGGAAACGGACTTTTTTGTAGCTGGGAGACTGGAGCTAGATGCCGCTGAAGGAGGTGACGCTGATGATGACGCCATAGACGAAAAATCTAAAAACACAAACTATCTAAAATATTTATTATATAATTAAAGACAAAAAGAACTTGTAATGAATCTCGATTAAGTTTCAAAAACCTAATATTTCACAAGTTTTTCATACAAGACAAAAATAACAGCAAATTTGACAAATTGACAACGGCGCTTAAAATTCTGAACTATCTAGACAGATTTTCCAACTGCTTTACATTGATGTGGAGAGATCCCGGAAAACTGAGCTGAACCCAAGTCAAGCTCAGCTATCATTGAAATTCTTCTACAAGGAATAATATCCATCTTGTAAATTTATACCTTGAAACTCTATTTCGTAAAGTTTCAATATTCTGATTAGTTCCTACTGTGCTGCCGCCTAGACGCATAAAACATTGGCTTCTGTCCGATCTAGCTATAATTTAGAATATTTTAGCTTTACTAAACATCCTTCTAGCTTCTGTTAATACTGAATTAGAGACAACTTTACTGTATAAATGGAGCGACCGTTCAGGAGGTCGTTTTATCAACAGTTTTGGATCTAAATCAAAAGTTTGATGTAATTTCTTTGAAAAAAGATTCAGATTAACCAATAGTTTTAGACAACCACAGGGATGTCGGGAGTCGTGCTAAAGGATGACAGGGTAATACAGATAGAAAGTTGACTTTTATTAAGCTCGAGTGATGAACTTAAGCATACTGTTGAAGTGACTGCTGGTACTTGAATCACATTTGAATTAATGTGCCATACCATTTTCCAATTGTATTATATTAGATTTTGCTTGAAAATGCAAAATCGAGACTTTCAAAATCGAGTTTTTCACCGTTACAAATAAATACTTTCTCGTCAACTACACAAAATATAAATAAACTTTAAAAATTCAATTCCATAAATTTTTACAGCGGATTGCATGATTCTTAGCCATCCTATACTTTTTTTGATCATGGTTTTCATAATAATAAGACGATCGATTTCATAATAGAACAGATTTTTTTCATTTCAAAAAATTCAACTTGCGTGTGTTGTTAACGATGCAACAACGGCATAGCGTTAAAAAGGTACAAAGTAAAAATAATAGCAATACAAGTGTAAAAACACACGAAAGCGGATATATTCTCTCAAGAAGTAAACAAAAGAAAAAAAAAGTCAAAATATGTTTTCATTTCATATATACAAATCTCTCTATCTCACTCACTCACACACACACACAGACACACACTCATATACAAATAAACGCTAATGTACAACAAGATACAAACATTACAGTACAGCAATCTTTCTCTAGATTTATGGTTTTCTTAAACTCGTAGAAAAACAGAAAATAAAAACTCTTCTAATTTGGTTTATATTCTGTGTTACGTTTTCGAACACTTATATCTGTTGTTGAATCATTCTCTTCAATTCTAAATGATATAATAAATGAAAGTCTAACTTGTTCTAAAATGAAAAATTAGCAACTTACGGGCAAATTGAACCGAACAAGCATGTAAACTATCTCTTGCTAGATCCAATTGTTTTTGTAATAAAACAGATGTTGTTTGTAAATGTTGATTTAAAAAAGTCATTTCATTTGTCAACATTTGAATTACTTTCGTTAGCTAAATAATAAAAATCAGGAAAATAATGACACTGAAAAAGGAGAAAAGGACATGCATATTCACAACATCAACACCGCAAACTGGAAAGCTCATCTTATTTCGAGTTTCAAAGAGTTGGAGCTAAATGAGAACTAACGTAGAGATGATGATGTTTGCAAAAATACAGATCCTTACAGCGAATTCAGGATTCATAATATTTTGTTCTATTTGTCTTACATCGTCAGACGGCTCTTCTTGCTGGTGTTGTTGCTGTGACTGATGTTGTTTACTATTTATGTTATTAATATTCTTATTCCGTCCTTTTTTTCCTTGTTTTTGCTGATGTTGAATTTTTCCGTCAACAACTTGCATTCGTTGTTTTTTGTTTGGCGAAGATGATGATGTCAAACCTAATAAGAGACCATTTGTGTTATTATTACTGTTATTGTGAGTATGTTGATCGTCGTCTTCAGACGAACGTCGACGTTTTATTGTTGTGTATTGTTGTTGACCACCGCCTGCTATATTCGTCACACTCATTGGTGGACAGTTTAAAATATTTTCTGGTAAAGCAAACTGATGTTGAACTGAATGTTGCAATATTGAATTGTCATTTTCTTGTTTAAATAATAAATTTTCAATTTCATTATGCGACTGGTGTGGATTGATTGTAGGAAGACCATTGATAATATTTTGTGTTTGTGTTGCTCGAGGTGGTGGAACAGTTGTATTTGGTTGTTGGTGATTATTCGATTCAGCCATTCGACGTTTTTCTAAGAGAAATAACAAGACAAAGATATTGACCATGTTTTTAAACTAGAAGAAGGCTGTTACCAAAGGTTTTTTGCATTGTTCAAGTTTTGCTTTACAAAAAACCTAGTTTTTTCTCACACTACTACACAAAGAGGGAAAGAAAACATAATTCAAAAACTTGAAAAGTTTTGCCTTAAGTAGATACTGTAAAGAGCATCTAAATTAACACTACAGTCAAGTGGATCTTTGATTCTTTACTACATTACCTTCTCTCGCTCGACGTAATAACGGTTTTCGATCAATCGGCGACGCAATTCTATGTGTTTTTCTTAAATGATCACTAAGATTTACCACCCATGTTTCACATTGGGGACAACGTAACCGTGATTCGTAGTCGCCTGGTTGAACTCCCGACGAGCGTGTGGGCCCATTTGGTGATGATTGATTGATATTCGTAGAAGACTGCGGTTGAGATGTTGGAGTTTGCTGCTGTGTAGTAAGATCATCAGCTTGATTGTTTGGATGAGTAGGATGAAATGTGTATGTTGTAGGTAGTGAGTTGGCCAAATCTGGAATCAATTGTTGAGTGGCCATGAAGTGAACCATTCTGGCCGGATCGTTTGCTGAATGAAGAAACAGGATTGTTTTTTATTTTGAAAGTAAAATAAGTAATGAAGAACAAATGAATAACCGGAATTTACAATATAATTGTAAATTTAGCTTAATTAACTTGTTTCAACACATACACAATGATCTGGAACGAGAAAAAAATTAAAATTATAGAATGATACGTAACTGATAGAATCATGGAGGTAATCGTTTGTAAAAAGTAAAGGAAAGTTAATATTACTGTTACTTGTCCTGCCTGTAAGTTTTTATTACATAATTCAGAAAAGTAAAAATAAAACTGCGTTTAAAATGGGAAATTCGAAAAAAGTAACTTAATCTAAGTTTAAAATATAACAACACCCTCAGACTCATTACATCAATCACTCATTGTTTTTCGTTAAAGAAATATACATCATTGGGTGTATCAGAACAATTTTTGAAGTTCCTGTCCTGGATTCGATCTTCCGACCTTCATCTTGCACCTGTCTAACTACGCATTTTCCCGTTGCACTAAATTGTGCAAAACGAAACTAAAAGTTATGAGGATACATTCGTATGAGGGCGTATACTTATGTATATATTTAAATAGTCTGTACAAGCAATCACTCACATGTGACTAGCTATACTATACATAAATGTTGATCATTGGGTGTATATTTCTAGGATTGGTAATTTCTGAGAATTAGTTTTCTCAAATCTCCTCCCAAACAGTGTTTCAGTTTTGATAATATAGAAGTTAAGGTACTACTCAACCGCAAGATATACTCTCAGTCGCACAGAATATTGATCAACAGAATAAACAGAGAAGTAATACAGTGGATCAAAAAAGCAATATCAAAACTTTCAAAACAAATCTTTTTTTCTATTTTAAATCGGTCCCTGGATCAGATCAAAAAGTAGATTTTATAAAACTATCAAAAAGTTTAATATCAAGAACAGAACAGAGATAGAGACAAGGAAGGTGATCTGAGAGCAGCCTTCGACCATTTTCATTTAAAGTCCAAGAGAACTCAATAACTAATAGTATACTGAAATATTCAACTAAAAAAGCAATACAGTAAAAAGAATCTTGATAAAACAATTCATCTTTCACTTAGTATACTCAACGATTTCTAACGATATTTTAGAAAAGATGTCGCTTTAATACGTTATTATACGATGACGGGTTTGTTATCTGAGATTATAGAACAAAAGTGAAAACGTCTCTTGCAATATGAGTCTTTTTTATGAACGAAATACTGTATTAAAAATGTGTATTTTATTATTGAACAAAGTTTGATTTTCCATTCTCGAAAGAGCGAATTGAACGTGCGTTTGCATTACATAATTTAAAATCTTTTTTTGAAAAAGATATGAATGAGTTCGAGTTAAATCAAAAACAAAAAAAAGAATAGTTTATAAATGACGTTAATAAAAGATTGGAAAATGTTTTTGTTTGTTTCCGAAAGTATATTTCCTTGATATTTTACCGATATATTTTAAAAGTGGCAAAAAGTTCTAATATAAAAGAAAGTACGTTCCTCTTCACATCTTTATTTTTTTCTAAATATTTTTTGTCCGTTACTCGTTTCCTTCTTTTCTCTATTTGAACTAAAATCAATTTTTAGAAACGACAAAAGAAATTTATCAAATCGTATGTTTAATGTAAAAGTTTGAATCACGTTCGTCAGTTTGTAATCGTACTACAAGAAAATTGCAAATTAGGAAAGATTGATAAATGGGTTCATATCCAATTCATTATTCCGACAGTACAACAACAATACCGACAGAGAAATGTTTAAGTCAGTCACCGATTAAGTACTACAATATTTGTAAATATGTGGATGATAACAATGGTAAAACAAAATATCATAAAATAACGAAATCTAATCAAAAATCTAATTTGTATTATACGAACAAACAGTTTAACAATTGATCTCATACTTGCGTTAGTAAAAAATAATTAAAGAGCGATTATCAATTATATAACCAAACCTATTAAATTAAAACGGTGTGATGACGATAAAAGTCTCGAAGAACTTATTTGTCATTATTTAAATTAAATTAACAATTCAAAACGTCGATATCAAAAACTTGTTTGACACACGAATATTTATTACCAATGCGATGAACAGCTTTTACTCTCAATAGTTTACTAGAATTAATCCCTGAAGTTTTGATTAGCGTCGTACTTTTTTCTCAGAAAGGGTATATGCCTTGATAATAAATATTAAATTTTCAAGACAGATCTAAACTCAACAGTTTTCCAATAATATACCATGAATACACGTTAGTGAGCATTAAACTAATACCAATAACCTGCTAAATCTATGTAAATATGTTAGTTATTTCTGAAGAAACTACACTGTAAAATCAAGCGACTTATTCTAAGATGTTGAAGTCGAAGAGAAAAAAGACCCTGGAAATATCTCGCGTTACGACACTTTTTGCACATCTTATTCTTCACTTTTTTCTGCCGGACGAACTGGTCTAACATCATCTCAATCTAACATACACGATGGGGCCCAACTCGAGTCACATATTTTCAAATAACTAATGATTTAATTCACTTTTCTACGTGCCACAATAATCTCGACTGTACATTCTAATAACAAAAACAAAAGTTATGCATTACAACTAAGCTAATTGTTTCCAAGTATGCGTTTTTTTGAACATGTGAATATTGTCTAGTAGAATGAACTTCTTTCAAAAAATCAACATTTGATAAAAGATGTGTTTGAAAATCCATACAATTCATATTTTTCCTTTTAATCAGATTTTAGCGACAATCACACATATCTGATGAGACAAGGGACGCGCTCGGGCGCATGAGAGAGTGATTTTGTTGATGTTGATTTTTTGTTGATGGCTCGAATCTCAGAGCAACTCTATTCGCTACAAACTGTCCGAACATCTATATGATAATGATCTTTATGAGTGTCTTGAATCTGACTGTTTTTGTAAAACGTATTAGAAATTTCTTCATATTAAAGTAAGACGTTTTTTTGACGAAGATACATATAATAAGTCGCTTCTTTTTCACAGTATAGACGAGCAGCTAAAACATTTTGCTCATATTATCAAAATAACTGTCTTTCTTGATAGTCAGCCCATTCTGATCTTGAATTTTCAAGACAACTGAAGAAGAACCAATTAAAGATAGTTCGTATACTTATCAAGAAGATAAAGTCATAACGCTTCTTGCTGTATTTAGAGTAGGGGTGGCACTTTCTCGTTCCTTTCCCAAAAAAAGAAAGTAAAAACTAACTTTACCACTTTCTTTTCCCAAAACTTGGCTACTTCCTAAATGCGGCCGAAATTTAAGCCAATTAGTTTAAAAGTGGACGCAATTTGGAACGAGTAAATTTCTATGATTCTGCGTTTCCAAATTGCGGCCACTTTTTAATTAGTGAGTAATCAACAATC